TTTTTTTTTTATTTATTTATTTTATTTTTTATTTTTTTGCAGGTTATGCCATGGCTGAGGCAGTAAATAATATTTCAACTACGCCTGAAGCACAAGACTTGCTCCATGACCACACGTGGCTGATAACTATGCGATTCGTGGTCATGGGTGTTGGAATCGTGCTCAACAGTGTTGTCACTGGAGTGTTCATGTACATACGAATGTATAGAAAGTCATTGCTACACGGATTAATTGTCCAGCAATCGTTCGTAGATTTCTTTGGTTGCTGTCTGTTCCTTATATTCTATAATCAAGACGCACCAAGTGGAAACTGGGGAAAAGCGTTTTGCAAGTGCCGTAGTATTTTCTGGTTTGTTGTAATAACGTCCACGTACAATCTTCTGATGATAACCTTCGAACGATTCATTGCGGTTGTGCATCCGATCACTTACAGAAAAAGAAACATTTTAAAAAGATCTCGACTGTTTTACATAGTACCATATATTACAGCTTTCTTGCTTACATTCCATCTCGCGATTATCGCCGATATCAACGAGGGTCTAATCGGAGAGTGTCAGTATAAATCGAATCGTGGTGTCAGTCTTTTTTCAGGCATTTTAATTTTTACGACATTTTTTTTCTTTCCGGCGTGTTTTATGTCTTACTGCTACGGCCGGATCTTGTTGGTGTTCCGTAAAAGGGCAAAGGCACGGCAACAGAACGATGCGAGTAACCAAGAAGGTACTGATAATCCAAATAAAAGATCGCATCGCGTATCTACGCAAAGAAACTTGGTGTACACGATGTTCTTCGTCGTTATTGGATATATTTTTACTTCTTCTCCTAACTTCACTATGTACCTGGTGTATAATATTTGCAGGTGTTTCGAATACAGCACCATACTTGCACACGAAATAACTGTACTCCTCTGCACATGCAATATGTGTATCAACCCGATCATTTACGGAGCGAAGATGAATGAATTTCGCAGTGGGGTGCTAAAAGTTTGGCGTAGAACCGTTATGTTTGTAACGGGTGGTGATATTGTAGACGAATCACCATCTGTTGATAACTCTCTAGTGACCATGAGTAAAAATGAGATGATAAATTGAAAAAAAATCACACCATAAGCAAGGATGATTATGTAAACAAAAGTATAAGCCAATTAATAAACGGAACGCAAATTACGTCTTGTTGTTGCAGCGACGTTTCATGCTCCGGTGATCTTGTATGCAAGCTATTACGTCAGCTTCTCGCAGGCGCCCACCTCCCTCTTACCATGGAGGTATTATTATTATTAATAATACCTCCATGCTCTTACCAACTGTACGGCAGCTTAGGGCCATATTTGGACTTAATGTGGACGTTCCGGACAAAAGCACCAATTTTTTTACATGCTCCTTATGGTCATAGCATTCAATTTTTGGTAGGAACCACCTCATCCGAGATCATTATGGCGGCCATCTTGGATTTCAAAATGGTAGCCTTATAAAACCTATGTTTATCTATATCTCCGCTTCTAAATCACTTTGAATTATAATTCTAATGTTGTAATATATAAATATGTATCTCGACCACAGGTCTCTGTAGTTGAGATGGTAAGACCTTCGCACGTTAAGAAAAAGGTACTGAGTTCGAGTCCTGGCGGAGGCAAGGTTTCCTTTTCATTCTGATCAGATTTTCCTCTTCTGTTGCATTTAAATTGTACATTATTATCTACAAAATGGGTTTATCCTATTGGTCTATTAAATTAAATAAGTATATAAATTATTATTGTTTTCTATTATTTTTTTATTTGTAATTTTTAAGATACCATACAATATTTGACCTTAAATGACCTTAAATGACCTATTTGTGGCAATCTGATCAGGTCGAAAATGGTATGATGGTATTCATTGACCATATAAAAATAGTTTTAGACATTAGAATTATAATTCCAAGTGGTTTAGAAGCGGAGATATAGATAAACATAGGTTTTATTAGGCGGCCATTTTGAAATCCAAGATGGCCACCATAATGACTTCGGATGAGGTGGTTCCTACCCAAAATTGAATGCTATGACCATAAGGAGCACGTACAAAAAATTGGTGCTTTTGTCCGGAACGTCCACATCCATCTGCTAAGCTGCCGGACTAATTGGCCTTCGTTAACAAATCATCATACATTATGTATCTGAGATCATGTCCTCCTTGATCCCGATTGATATTATTGCTTGTTTTTCGTATCCATAGTGATTCTTTGATTTTTCTGGCTATCGTGTGTGGTTCTTTGTCTAATATCTTTATGTTGTACCAGTTTGGAATATGATTTTCAGCAATGACATGATCTGTAATGGCCAATTTGTGGGTGATAATTGTGTATATTGTGGGTGATAATTATGATATACTATATGCTTAAAAATAATATCTAAACAGTATAAAAAACATATATAAATAATAAAAGATAATCAAATAATTGCTGCCCAAGAGCTCAACAACACAGGAGGAACTAAGCCTTAGAAAGTAATCAAATAATGGTAGAAAGAGTGTTCGAATAAAAGAACAGAATCGTATCGGTCATAGCATAATCGAAAACCTTATATATATATAATACATATATAAGCTATTGTTTATTATTCAGAAAAAATATTAATGTTATATAAGAAGAGAAATTAAGTATTTGTTAATCATGCTTTACATCGTTGTTTTTTTGTTTTTTTTTGTTTTTTTTTTTTGCCTCATATTACAATATTTAATATTTAATAATAGGCCGGATTATTCTTTCGATGCGGTGCTACTAAAATTCCCCCTTCCTAGTTGCATATTTATAAAATGTTTTACATAATATGTTGAATTGAGCTAGGGTTAAAAGGAACTTGTCATTGTTGGTATTGTTATAGGCCTAGTACAAATAAAATAACACAATATTGTCAAAATCTATATTCAAGCAGTTTTTAAGTCATACAATGCCATTGCACATGATAAGCTTCTTCACACCAATTCAATTTTATTTTTCTTACATGTTCAATCCATGATAATTACATTTTACATGTATATTGTTGGATTAATACACGAAATTATTATATCTTAGGCCTACATCTAAAATTTTATAACGATTACAAAATACAGGGTTATAAGAATATCTTGTCATTTTCATTAACGAACCGTTCGTGCCATGATATAGTACGCTCATTCACTGATAGAATTTGAATCCATCTAATGAACGTTACGGCTGTTGCAGCGATGGGGTTTGATCGCCAGCTAACAAAATGTGTCGGAGATATCGCCGTTTGTAATTTTGTGTTATATTAACTGTATTATTTTAGTTATAGTCTGTCAATGAAGCCATATATTGATAGTAATTATTAGCTTGGTTATATAAAATAATTTACATTAATGTAATGTAATGCGGTGATGTTAATGAATTAAATTTAAAAAGTGCTTTGGCGCAAGCAACTTACAAGACAGTAGAAAGGACTCAATCGGATTTGGTCACTTCGTGGAAAATATAAATCAAATTGGAATCAAGCCTTTTTCGGAGTCTTGTAAGTAACGGAGTATAGCAGTAGCCTGCATTTCCGCAATCTTTTAAACAGACAGTGAATTGAAAATACTGAATAACATATGTGGAGTACTGCACAATTAGGTGCTAAATTCGATGTACCGACCCATGACTTTTAATAAAGCCGTCTTTATGTATACATTGACAGGCCATAATTCACAGACAATGCATTTTATTTAGTCTATATTTATATTTTCCTGGTAGTTCCTGATGTATACTACAAGCCCTAAATATATACTGTGTTGTGATGCTGAAAGTTAACCTAAGGTAGGTCTAATTTAGTTGTTAAGTTTAACTGATAGGCCTACGTCATCAGCCTGAAAATAAAATAATAAGACTATATTAAGTATAAGAAAAGTATAAATAACACTGGTCCTATCTAACTATGTAATGTGACTGGGCTTCAGGAGACTTGAGGCTGGTAGCGCCACACCCGTGTGGCAGGATGGTTTAAAAACTGTCTGAATGAAAACATATTCTTAACCTAGGTTTACACACTAAACCAATTTACACGCGATTACGCAAATTTCAGTAACGCTACTACACATCTAGCCACGTGTAAATCTTTCTTTATAGTGTAGGCCTAATTCCAAGGAAACGATGCGGTGAATTACTCATACTTGTCTGCATGGACTTATGTATGCCAGGCCTAGCTGTAAAAGCTTACTCGCTGGTAATGTGAATAGCCTCGTCTAGACTATCGTTTTTGGAGTACAAACATTTAATCTACTTCACCTGTCTTAGTTTAATTTTTCTGTAAAGCTATAGGATGTCTGATGACAATAATAATAATTATTATTCTAATATATTATTTCAAAAGAACAACTACAAAGTACAATAATACAATACTTTTACTTGTAAAGTATTATTATTATTGCAGTATTTAATTTTGCTTTGTGAAATAAGTGTCCATCACTATTGTCATTTTTAATATTTTGTCAATATTAATATTTACGTGTAACAATTCTTATACTAAAAAGTATCTAAAAAGAGCCCGTCTTGTCATTTCGCATTGATTTCATATGCGCGATTGAGTCGAATATATATTTAAAAAAAAAACAAGGAAATTGATCTCAATCTATAGTACGAGTCCTTCCTCACGTCATAATTATAGACAAATCTATAGCCATTCAATTGGCCATTGACATAAGAAGTCTAGGTTTACGGAACTGTCATTACGAAATAATTGCGATATTATATTTAACGAATTCACCACCTATAGGCTATAATTGGAACGTTTTGGACTAGAATTCCAATGGGAACAAAATGTTTATATTTTCCAAATATATTCATCACCATATGCAGGTTCTACCATGGCTGTGGCAGTCAATATTTCAACTACACCCGAAGCACAGGACTTACTCCACGACCAAACATGGCTGATAACTATGCGATTCGTGGTCGTGGGTTTTGGAATTTTGCTCAACAGTGTTGTCACTGGAGTGTTCATGTACACACGAATGTACAGAAAGTCATTGCTACACGGATTAATCGTCCAACAATCGTTCGTAGATTTCTTCGGTTGCTGTTTGTTCCTTATATTCTATAATCAGGACGCACCGAGTGGAAACTGGGGAACAACTTTTTGTAAAGCCCGTAGTCTCTTCTGGTTTGCTTCATCAACGTCCACGTACAATCTTCTGATGATAACCGTCGAACGATTCATTGCAGTTGTGCATCCAATCACTTATAGAAAAAGAAGCATTGGAAAAAGGCCTCGACTGTTTTACATCATACCATATATTATCGGTTTCTTGATTTCCTTTCATTTCGCGATTATCGCCGATATCAACGAAGATCTAATCGGAGAGTGTGTGTATACGGGCAGTCGTGCGATCAGTCTTTTTTCAGGACTTTGTGTTTATGTGATATTTTTTTTCGTCCCTGCATGCTTTATGGCTTACTGCTACGGTCGGATATTCTTGGTGTTTCGTAAAAGAGCAAAAGAACAGCAACATAAAGACAAAGCAAATAGACGACTATCGTCATATCACGTATCCACGCAAAGAAACCTGGTGTACACGATGTTTTTTGTTGTTATTGGATTCATTTTTACTACTTCTCCTAATTTCACAATGTACCTGGTGTATAATATTTGCAGGTGTTTCGAATTCAGCACAATTGTTGCACACGAGATTACGGTACTCATCTACACATGTAATATGTGTATCAACCCAATCATTTACGGAGCGAAGATGAATGATTTCCGCAGCGGGTTAAGGGAAATTTGGCGTAGAAGCGCGATTCGGGCAGGTCATGATGCTGCCGAGGAATGGACATCCACGCGTCATTCCATGACTCTAACTAAAATTGATACTGAAAAATTAAAAACATTATTCCATTAAAATGGAAAAATATAATAACAATAGTAATACACTATTAATAATATTTTAATAGTAATTGTTATTGTCGTGATGGAATAGACAATAACTAGATTTGCGTCAGGAGAATCAATTATAGGTGTAATTGTGCTCAACCTGTTGTGTGGAAATGTACTATACACAGTACGTGCGAAAACACTTGCCGAAAAGTTGTTCTCGGGTGGGACTCAAACCATGGGACACAATTACCATTCATATTAGCAGTACTCGCTGTTTACTTGGACTCGAATTCAAACCTGGTCATCAGGCTCAAGCTTGGTGGTATAGAGGTATGATGCCAGGCTAGTTATCAGGAGATCGTGGGTTAGAGCAACTTTCGAATTTTTTTCGTGTTTTCACACGTACTGAGTACTCAGTCCATTTTCCACAGGTTGGGCAAAATTACACCTATACTTAATATTGTCTGCATGGACTTAAGTATGCCAGGCCTAGCTGTAAGAGCTTACTCGCTGGTAATGTGAATAGCCTAGTCTAGACTATCGTTTTTGGAGTACAAACATTTAATCTACTTCACCTGGCTTAGTTTATTTTTTTCTGTAAAGCTATAGGATGTCTGATGACAATAATAATAATTATTATTCTAATATTATATTATTTCAAAAGAACTACAAAATACAATAATACAATACTTTTACTTGTAAAGTATTATTATTATTATTGCAGTATTTAATTTTGCTTTGTGAAATAAGTGTCCATCACTATTGTCATTTTTTTATTTTGTCAATATTAATATTTTGGTGCAACAATTCTTATACGAAAAAGTATCTAAAAAGAGCCCGTCTTGTCATTTCGCATTGATTTCATGTGCGCGATTGAGTCGAATATATATTTAAAAAACAAGGAAATTGATCTCAATTTATAGAACGAGTCCTTCCTCACGTCATAATACAATAGGCAAATCTATAGCCATTCAATTGACCATTGACATTTCGAATTTTTTTCGCAAGTGTTTTCACACGTACTGAGTACTCAGTCCATTTTCAATCAGGTTAGGCAAAATTACACCTATACTTAATATTGTAATATTAATAATAATGGTAATAATACAAATGTTAATAATTAAGTATATAGGAGCTTAGAAGTATCCATAGGGGGAAACTAAAACAATGAATTGGTTAAAAACAGTACCATAAGGCGAAAGTAGTGTCGCTAAGGGGAAAATAAAACGACGTTAAGGGGAAATCGGGGGAACTCCTAGTAATACATGGAATTTAGCACATAACCAATTATTTTTTTCAAAGCATTCACATTTTACTAGATACAATATAGAGGCTCCAAATGTCTTGAAAGTTTCTTGACAGTTTAAGTGTGTAATTTCACACACCAGGAAGTTATAATTTGCAATTAAACCTGTCTCTTATACACATCTAGGTGTGTATAAGAGACAGAGCATATACTGTGTATGTCATTTTTTGAAGATAAGCAATGGCAATATATTTTCCCTCAATATTTGATTTTACATATATATTTATTTCGAAAAATGTTAAGTATCAATATATAAACTTTTTGAATGATATATAGTTTCATATTCATCTCATTATTTAATTGAAATGTTTTTCTATTTGATCGTTTGATTTTCATTTGTACTTTGATGTATTTTTTTAAAAATGTATATTTGAATATATGAAGTGTCGATTCTTAAGTGAATGTTCGTTATATACTTTATCTCTCTGTTCGGAGGTTTTTGAATAAATTGAAATTGAAATGGAATACATTCACGGCGACAGTTTTATTCTTGATATAAAAACAATGCTCTGTTTAAAGATAATTCTGTTTTCATTACAAATATTTATATTTATTGCAAGACAATCTAAACATTTTTGCACAAAATCTGAACTGCATGCGTCTGTTTATTTGCTAGTTTTTTTTGGTGTTACATATGAAGCAGTGCACTTTACCAAACGTAGCGTTTAAAACACAGTACTGTGAATGAACATACCTCATTTAATTACCCCAAGACCAAACGTTTTGAAAATGGAATGTGGTGGGCATAAAAGAATCACTGGAGGGCCAAAATGAATTTTGGATTTAGTACCAAGGGCCGCGTACAAACCTTTATGGTGAAAACTGTACGTGTCCATTTTGTTTGGATATAAATATTCATGCACTGCTTATGCTCAAATAATTTATTTACGCGGGCCGCAACAAATTGCCGTCTGGCCGAATATGAACCGCGCGGGCCTCACTTTTCCTCACGCCTGTTTAGAACTAAAATTATACGAGGAAAAGCGCTATTTTAGACACTTCAACCGAATGGTATGAATGTTGATGGATAATATCTCACCCGGATAAATTTATTTGTCAAAACTCTATTTAAAAAAAAACTTTTGATCTTGGAGCACATTCAATCTTATTTAAGCAATATTCGGTTCCGTCTTGATGAATATTCCGTTATTATTAGATTAAGAGATTGCTTTAATGTATTTTCATTTATTATGCATTTTGTATATATGACAATTTGTTTTTTTTTTTTGTGACTGGATGTGAACCCAAAATAATACAACCTGTGTGAATTGCTGTTTGGTTTTGACATTCTAACGTTTTTTATATGAGGCCCGAAAATATAAAGGCCTACAAATATTTTAGTATTGATGTGAGTTTTTATATCCAATGCTTTTATTTGGTGGGTAACCTACAATTCAAGTTTATGAACAATTACAACATTACTTCGGTTAAGTAGACTTTTACTGCACCCAGATTTCAGTAATATAAAGCATGCAAAACTTGGTATTGAAGGGCAATCCACTGTAAAGAGTGATAAACGTTTAAGTGCCTAACGTGTTATAAGTACATACAGTCTGTGGCAGCTGTAGGATATATTTTCGGGGGGGGGGGGGCAATGACTGTCCGATGGAGGGGGCTGAGTGAGATAAGGATAACTTTGGCGAGCATCGCCATCTGAGGGCCTTCTGACCAAGCCGGGGGAAGGGTTTGTGAGAGGTGTCCCCTCCCCAATGAGATAAATAAAAAATAAGGACCACTGGATGGCCGGAAATGGCACTGTTGATAAAATACAATTGTTACTATACTCTCAAACTCAACACAATAAACACGCATTTCATTTAGTTAGGCCTATTTTTTTTTGGTCCGACTGCCTGACAAGATCTGTCCAAAGGAGGGGGCTTTAAGCCCAGATGCCCCTCCATCCCGCTGGCGCCACAACTGTATACTGTACATGTGTTTGAAAACACTATGGTAAGTATTACTGTAATATCACATGTTTACAGCATCCTCCAACTGGCTGAAAGGTGACAAACAGCACTTAAAGTACACTGAGAAATTCATACCAAAGCCATGCCATGTTTCCGTACAACATGAATTAGGCAAGAAAAAAAAACGTTTCGTTAGCTGATGTTTGTAGTGTGTGGCCAGCTTTACAGAACAACATAGTCAAAACAGATGATTAATAACACAGAAGTATATTTTTCATTTTTGAAATGTGATATAATCCTGCAGTACATAACTAAAATTACAGTATATTAATTTTAAAATCTTTTTTAGATGCCCATAATATTTACAATTTAATGGACAATGCTGGATTAATATACTATTAAACATTATTCATCTTAAGAACATGCAAGAATGCAATACAATCATACTATAATGCCTATAAATTACATGATTTCTTTAACTTCCATGTTAGCAGATTTATTTATTTATTTATTTATTTATTTATTTATTTATTTATTTATTTATTCTTTATACTGGGTTACGTCTTCAGTAAGAAGTTACTGTTCTCCCAGAGGGCCCAGTACACATAAAACATTAAAATCTCAAGAAAAACAACACAGAACATCCAAAAAGAAACAAACACAAATTAAGTAAAAAATTACCTACCCCCCGCATTCCAAATACGAGAACACCTAAAAATGCTGCTACAACTGTACCCAAGATATAACTAATTTTACATAGAAAAATGTTTTCACTGACCCAATTTGTACCCATGAGCCATGGATTTAGGATAACAAATGCCAGGTGCGGATCCAGGATTATAAAAAATGAGAGGGTACCAGTTTCATAGAATAGTGCAAAGTGAGTGGCGCTAACGTGGGAATACGGCAAGTGGAAGATGCTTAATAGATGGCCAGAAATACATGTTTGGCAGTGGCAGATCAAAGGGCAAAAAATTTTCTGTTGCCACATCACACAGTCATTTTTCATTTCATTTAAAATTCATTAATTAATTAAAATTAATTACAGCTTTGCTGCATCAGAGACGACATTGACACGCACCCATGAATTATTCATCACACCACGAAGATTCCAAATCTGCTTGATATCCTCTGGCATAGTGTTTGATGCTTCATCCCCTTTGGAAATAAAGAGAGCATGTAATTAATTTAAGTTAAATTACATGACATAATTTGGAATTACTACAATATTGCACTGGCAGATATAATGAAATGCAAGAAATTCTATTTTCAAATTCATCACATTATTTGTTTTATCTATAAAGCCTTGTTTTCATACAATCACTACACTGTCGCTACAGTTTTTTTACTGCAACCATTGCACTGCGTAGCTCTTTCCCTGATATAATCGGGAACGCTCACTGATTCAACTGACCAATCAGCGTCACCAAATGGCGATAGCATGTAGCGATTTTATGGAAACCAGGCTTAAAGAGTAACAATCCAAATTTGTATATATTTATTCATGTACAATTGATACAGTCTCATAAAACAATTGCGAAGCATTTTTTAGGGTCACTGAACTTGAATCAATCGTGCGCAATGAACAACATCCATTTCTCCAGGGGGGAACTCCTAGTAATACATGGAATTTAGCACATAACCAATTATTTTTTTCAAAGCATTCACATTTTACTAGATACAATATAGAGGCTCCAAATGTCTTGAAAGTTTCTTGACAGTTTAAGTGTGTAATTTCACACACCAGGAAGTTATAATTTGCAATTAAACAACTCAATAGCCAGCTTGGGACTGTCCCACTTAATTTTTCTTCAATTTTTTTTTTATAAATCAAAGAAAAAAGAAAGACCCATTGCCTTTATACACATTTACATGTAAAATGGTTTGAGTTTTTGAAAATTTACACATTGTTCAGTTTATATGGATGAAATGGGTTCATCCTCTAAAAAGATGGGTTTACATTATTAGATTGTACAATGAAAATGTGTCCAATTTTTATTAATGGGTCCAGTTTTTTTGTTTCTATGGGTGAAATAGGTCCACTTATAACATATGGGCCCAAATTGATGAGTGAAATGAGTCAAAACATAAAATAAAATGAGTCAATAATAGTAAACATTTTAAAATGGACCAACAATCATTAATTTGTTTTTACCTATAAACTGGGTCTGCTGTTAGATTTGTTAATTTATGCATAAAATGGGTCCCAGTTCTTAAAATCGTAATAATAATTAATAGTTTAAAAATAAGTTTACAACAGTCAAGAACATGTGTTAAAATGAGCCTAAGATGTGTCCACTCTTGGACTAGATCCAGTCTTGAACTGACAAATTGAAAATAAAACCCTGGCTACAGCACTGATTTATAATTTTTCAAGAATTTCACATCTTCAAACTCTGTAATACCTATTTATATCCTTCTCTACAAATTTCAATATGAATTTGTGATTTAGATATTTAACACTACAGCATGAATTACAATTAATACACCAAAAATAACCAACTCACATGCACGGCATACAATCTGACAAGGAGACGGCATTGACTTGATTGTACAATCCCAGAATTCCCAGCTCCATTTAGTATCGATGTGAAGGAGCCCCTGGGAGGATGTGAATAAGTTTGCAACTGTCCAACTCTTTCCGCCATCAAGTGAAATGTCGACACGAACAATTCTAAAATGAATGATAATACCAAAGCAACAATTAAACAAAACATTGAAATATTAAACAAAGCATAATTATATCTAAACAAACTGAAATAAGAATACATAATGATGAACTCCAATAAACATATGCAAATGAAACAGTTTCATAACTGGATCCCATAATAAGATCACAATACACTCAGTTAACTAGATTCGTATTCCTCAGAGCTAATGGAGAGTTGCAAGGGGAAAATTTGACTAGGGGTGTTAACAGTGGTGGCGCCAGAGGGGGTGCTGTGGGGGCTATATCCCCCTCGTCGGGGAATCCTATTTCCCCCCCCCCTTTGGGGAAGACGAGTACATTACATCGGGGAATACAAAAATTTTGTTAAATATTTTTACATGTCTGTTCGTTTAGCAACCATATCGCCTTCATTTACCTATTTGTGTACTATTTGTGTTAACTTTTCATAACAATAATAAAAAACAACGACGACAACAACAACAATAATAATAACATAAATTCATGTGCCATTTTGTTGTAAGTTATCCGACTACCGTATATATTACTTTTCACATTGAATTAAGCCCATGAAACAACAGATATTTTTCACAGTGAAATAATTACGTTCAAACATATTGGAATGTATGTCAGCAGAACAGTCAATCAATCACCACTTGAATGCATAATAATGTCTAAAGAAAGTTTGAAGCATTTAACCATCTCATTTTACATTCACCAAAAAAAATTAAATTTTATTTTCTCCTCCATCTGGATGTTTTTGGCAAAACTATTTGCTAAATAAGAAAACAAATTTTATTTCTATTCCGCCCTCCTCCGATGATCTTTAAAAAAATAAGTATGCAAAACAAGGAATAAAATAGTCTCAACTAATTTTTCATAGTTTTTGTATTAAATATGTGCCTTGCTGCTGTCAAACAAAGATGGATTCACCACACTGTATCTTCTAGTTTCAAATAAAAAAAAAAATATATATATACATACTTCCTTCCACCACCAGACAAAGCATATCCCTTGATGGTGTATCTTGAGCCCCTTGGGATCACTTCATTGTTTTTAGGCTGAGTTATCGCTGCCTGCACATTTAGCTCCTGGATGGGGACTGATTTATCCCACCACTCATCCACTGTATCCCAATCAATCTATGGATATGTAAGGATATGTAATAGCAGACTTTACTCCTCCTGCAGAAATTTCTTTAACAACAAACAAAAATACACGTTAGGCCAGGCACTCACAGCGCCGTCCGACCCTCGCACGACGAATCCAACTCCGCGTCCTGTGAGCGCTTGGCGATCGGACGCTGTCTGTCGGATTTGCACACCGTGTTATTTTCATAGGAATGAAAGCTAATTTTACCTCAGGGAGGAAGAGTTTGTAATCTTTTTTCTGAAAGTAGTTGGTAGACTCATGCATTTGAACGGTGATCGTCTTAAGCCACTTAACACTCCTGTTAAATGCAAGAAATAATAGCATCAGTTAACAACTCAAGCCAAACCACAAAATCAACATTTTTTTTTATTTTTCATTAATTATGGAATGTAATATGTAATAAAAACATTTTAAGATCTCTAGACATTATAATGTACAGTACAGGTATGGTGGAAAAAATATAATATGTTAAAATATAATATGTTAACTCATTATGAATGAAAAAAAAAAAGATTGAATTTGCATATTAAACAAACAAACATATTATGGAAAGAAAAAGAAAATGTTAAGCTTATTTTTATGTTTAGTTTGATTATCATATACTTTTTTTACTGTATAAATTAAAATAAGAAGTTGTGTCACCCACACGAAAGAAGCGAAACACACTGAAAACATAACATACATAACTGTTGGTTAGCTTGGTGTGGGAGGGGAAACTCAAGCTTACAGTCAGACAAATTAAGTGTTTCTCACCTTGCCCCAATGTAACCTGGAACAACCACTCGTACCGGATAGCCATGATCACGAGGCAACTCAGAACCATTCATCTAAAATAAAACCCAAAGGAAGAATTTTTATGATTTTTCTATTCAATCTTTTATCTGGTTAACTTGTGTTTCTCTATTAATATGTATGGTGCTGCAGCAGAAGGGAATTTGGCTTCTGTATTAAATGCTGTCTACATTACCAAGGTACATGTGACGAATACCTGTGACTTACCCATATAAAGGTGGTGGATCTGGGGGCGGAATGGGGGCTAAGGACCCCGTAAATAAAAGAAAGCTAATTTTTCAAGCATTCCAAACACAAATCACAAAAACCACCACCCTATCCCACTGCTTGGTGCTTTGCAAGTTGCATTTCCCCCACACAGACTATTCCTTAAATCCACCCTTGGAAAATCTGTATACAGTAGATCAAATAACAAAAATACAACGAAATATAAATATATCAGCAAATATAATACTTACCTCAAGAGCCAGTATCACATCTCCTCTTTTGTCCCTGTAATGAATTTAATTTTGTCATTTTTATAAAACGGTAAATATCCAAACAATATGAAAACACAATAGAAATAAGTATGCCCTTGCTGGTGACAGGATTAAAGAAAAGAAAACTCAATTGCTATGTTATGTTTTCTCTGTCATCAACGGTCACACGGCAATGCTAATAAACACATATTTTATATAGAAAAACATCTATATAAAAATATAACAATTTGAAATGCTTGAAGCTTTTCACCAAAAAAAGTGAATGAAAGTAACTTACAGAGCTTTGTGGAGGGGTATTGATGATCCATAGCCTTGGTTATCTTTGCAAATATCAACCCCTTCAAAATTAACATGCAGCTGATCCCAAAAGCTCTCAAGCTAACAGAAATCAAAGACGAAAAAATGAATGACATCAAATATCAACCCCTTCAAAATTAACATGCAGCTGATCCCAAAAGCTCTCAAGCTAAAGAAATCAAAGACGAAAAAATGAATGACATCATTAAAAATCCTATTTTATAAATTTATCTGCTTATTTGATTAGAATTTATTTTATTTTTTTATTGTTGCAGAAAAAATTATAGGAAAAAACTTGACCTAAATCTTAACTTGAAAAAGGATCTGATAGCACTTGAAACATTTAAGTATTTTTTCCAACATTATTGCTTTAACAATAAATTTCTAATAAAAATAATTTGATGAAAATCATAAAAATGATATTAATACAACAGTAGGCATACTTAATATTATATAAATGACATTGACAATAATAATATTTCTTGTTCCCTTGCATCCCTTTTCCCAATTATCATCATCAACTTTGAGATTACGACTGAGTATGGTCCTTAAACCTACCTTTTCAATACCTGCACTAAGAAGCACATCCCGCAATCTAGGCCCTTTCCACACAGCATTGCTAATTGCAGCACAGCCCCATCCAACACCCTACACAACATATAAACAAGCAGTTATAAAGAATCTGATTATCATTTACTAGTATACAAATAATGAATGTTTGAGTGAAATAAGAAAAATAATATATTGAGTTGAAAGATGGCCTGTTCCATTCAATGAGGTAAAGCAAAGTGGATTGAAACAAACCATTTTTCCAACAAATGAAAATATTTTTTTTTATATAGAGTTGACATCAAAATGATGAGCTGCACATATGTTCCAAATAAGTATAACATGGGAGTCAAGTACAAAAATAAATGACAGAGGTTGACGTGTGACAGAACAAAAAATAGTTCTAAGGACAGGACGAAATATATGTTTTTCAATTAATAAATAATAAATATTTTATGTTCTGTCACACGTCAACCTCTGTCATTTATTTTCGTACTTGACTCACATGTTATATATATATATATTCCAATCTGCAGACAGTACCGTTTCGATCTTGTTAGATCTCATCAGTGCAGCTCAGGATTTTTAAGAATGAAACACACCACTGACTCAAACATAGCTTGGGTCAGTCCTGTGTGACGTGGTACACTGATTATGAATACAAGAGTGCACAAACCCAATAATGAGTGTGCTATGCACACTCATTATGTCACATATATATATATATATAGTAAATAACGAGTCAGATGGTATCAGATATATGCCACAAAATTTATTTTCAGAGTTAGCGAGTACTTTCGACTATAAGTCTTTATCAAGCTATGAAATAAAACATGGTAAGATAGAATTAAATACATAACAGAAGCTCAAGAAGAGGCTTATGGTAAACCAATGGGATTGCAGAACGCAGATTAACCAATGGATGGCTATAATAAAACAAAGAAACAATACAAAACGTGTAATGAAAAGCCTAAGAACAATGGCAAGATTGGGTGGAGTTAATTAAGGCATGGTAAACCAAGCCAAAGCCAAGTAAGATAGATCTGATAATATAATAATATGATAGAAGACCTAATAATAATTAAATTAAGTAAAATAAATATATAGGCCTAACCTAGTTTCTAAATGATTTAAATGATACGTTTATACCTGCTGGAGCTAGAGTGCCTAATTTGTAGATAAGTCTCTCTTCATGTTTCTTCCGAACTGTATCAGTCCAATTACAAAGTTTAATGCCAGTTATAGTGATATCATTCAGAGAGTGGTTAGTGGCAAAATGAGAGGCTACAGGTAGACCTGTTTGTTTGAGTTTAATAGATCTTAAGTGTTCAGTAAACCTGTCTGCCA